TCTTGGAGATATCTCACCCATAGGGTCACCATGAGTTGAAATTGACTCATGGGCAGTTAACAACAAGGAAATTAAGACACAAAACCCAGACGAGTCAAGTCTTGACTCAAGTCAAGATTCATTGCCCTCACTCTATTCTTCTTCTTGTTTGTCTTCAAGTTGTTTCTGACTTATGGTGTCAGAACTTATCATGGGAATTTCTGGGGCTAAGAGTATGTAACTTACTCAAGTTCTCCCAGTGGGTTTCCACGGTCGAGCAAGGAATCAGACCCTGGTCTCCAGAGTCATCATCCAATAATCAGGTGAATATTTGTCCTATATCAAACCGTTAATCAGATGAGCATGAGTTTCAGGGGAGGAATTTGTGAATCCACATATACAATTGCCAGTTTTCAAGATTACTGTAAAAAAGCAGGATAAAATCAAGTGATGCATTTGTGAATGAGGCATATAAGTTTCAACTAGTTCTATATATCTAAGGTAGACTATAAACCCCTGGGAAGGCACCATGCTATGCATGTGATCTGTGCTGTGCCTAACTCACAGCTGCTGCTCTCTCTAATTTTGTAGCAGTATGTAATGTATTTCCTATTAGTTCAGGAAACAGAAATGAAAATAGGATGACTGTAAAACTACTGTATTAATTATATGGAATGAAACTACTGGGTAATATTCCATTAACAAAATGATTCATTTAGAATCTGGTGGAATGGAACTCCCTCCAATTTTAAGCAAATGAAGAAAATTCTACTTGATAAAAGACATTTGGGAGACAACAATGGGAGGGCTACCACCACCATCAATCTATGTGGTGTGTCAGGGCACCCTTTCTCATCAAGGATGAAGCAAGTTATGAGTATTCCTCACATTCAAACATATCAAAATGAGAGGCAGTAGTGATCATTGTGATAAAGGAATGAAGAGTAAGACATACCGTATTTTCCGGCGTATAAGACGACCCCCCCATTTTCCAGTCAAAATATAGAGTTTTAGCACCTCTATCCTCCTTATCCTTATACCCGCCATATAAGACGACCCCCCCAACTTTAACAGCAGATTTTACAGGTTAAAAAGTAGTCTTATGCGCAGGAAAATAAGGTATTATTTTCTTTTTTAAGGTATTAGTTTAGAGCAGGGGTAGGCAACCTTTCCCCTTTAAGGGCTGAGGGACTTCAGCTCCCAGAAGCCTCAGCCATGTTGGCCAATAGTCCCATATTGGCCAATAGCTCCTGGGATTCTGGCAGCTGAAGTCCCTCGGCCCTTAAAGGGGAAACGTTGCCTACCCCTGGTTTAGAGTTTCAGGGAATGTGCTGTCCTGGCCTTAGTCAACAGAACCAATATCACATGCGCACACACACACACACACAGAGTCAAAATCATTATATTATAATAAGTGGAGTTATCCCAACAACAAACATCTGATACCAAAATCCCTTTGTGATTAAATGCTGAAGATAACAACATTCTGAGGGCAATGTGTGGGTGAGTCCATGGGCAGAGAAAAGGTGAGAGACAGTTGTCACATAAATAAATGCACTGTTTGTAAAGACCTTTTTCTGTCACTGGGAGAAATAATTTGGGAATTTAGTGCTGTTCTTGTAATAGAAGCTGGGATGACCCCCCTCCCCCCCC